ATTTTTATGTTTAGATGCATTTAAACTGATCAAATTTTATTTCAGAGAACAATAAAATTAAATTTTGTTTGATTAAAACCCTGCTAACATGGAAGTACCCAAGAATCATTCGAGGCAGATAATGTTTTATGAGTTCAAGAAAGGAAACTCAGCAGCCGAAGCGGCTAGAAACATTCACTCAGTTTATGGAGAGGAATGTGTGAATGAAAGAACTTGCAGAAGATGGTTTGCAAAATTCAGAGGTGGAAATTTCACCCTTGAAGATGAAGATCGAACTGGACGTCCAGTTGAGTTTGATGAAAAGCTTCTTGAAGCAGCCCTTGAAGAAAATCCTGCTTTATCAGTTGAGAAATTGGCAGTGATTCTCAGTTCAAACCATACAACTGTTCATCGTCATCTTCAACAACTTGGAAGAGTTCCTAAACTTAGAAAATGGCTGCCTCATGAATAGTCTGAAAAAAAACTCAGATCCCGAGTTGACATCTGCTCTTCTCTCCATTCTCGCCAACTTGTTTCATCTTTTTTGGATAGACTTGTGACTGGCGACGAAAAATGGGTCTTTTATCGAAATGTTAAGCGTCGTAGACAGTGGCTTGGTAAAGGGGAAGGACCCCAGCCACAGCCGAGAAGGGAACTTCATGGGCAAAAGGTTCTTCTTTCAATCTGGTGGGATCGCCAAGGAATAATCCACTTTGAATTCTTACCACCTAATGCAACAATTAATGCTCAAATATACTGTCAGCAATTAGAGCGTTTGAACCAAGCTTTGAGGAAAAATACCTGCTCTAGTGAATCGAAAAGGGGTGATGTTTCATCAGGACAATGCGTGACTTCACACAGCAAGAATCACGTCAGAAAAGATCAAAGAACTTGGTTTGGGGAAAATTTCTCATCCACCTTATTCTTCCGAACTTGCTCCTTCAGACTACTATTTGTTTCGTAGCTTACAGAATCATTTGGAAGAAACTGCTTTTGTAACACAGGAAGAGGTTAAAACTGACATTTGGGAGTTCTTCGAATCAAAGCCAAAAGAATTTTACAGTAATGGAATTAGTAAGCTTGTTAATAGATGGAAGGAAGTCATAGATAATCAGGGAAAATACATTGTTGATTGAATCTGTAATTAAATGTAACATTTGGTCACTTGTTTTCTTTCTTCAAAATTCGGACAGAACTTATGGGATGACCTGATAATATACATAGCTTAAACATCAGCCCAAATGTGGCAGCAATGTAAAATGCATTGACGGTCGGTAGATGATGGCGAAAGGAATTTTTTGAGCCTGACACAGTGAACTAAATTGTCAAAAAGAGAGAGTTTTTTAAAAGAAAAAGCGAAAGTCGTATTTGAATGAATTTTACTGAACAAAATCTAAAAACAATTCCATATTTTTTTAAACATTTGTAAAATTTTCTTATTCCTCGAAACATTTTCTTTTAGTGAATGCCCGTGTTTTAGAAGACATCCTTTAAAAAAAATGTGAATTCCGCGTACGGATTCAGGCGATTTAGTAAACAACATGTTTTCCTCGGATGAATTCAAATCTGCGCACACCCTTCCTTGTAGAGCAAATTTATTCTAAACACAAGAGTTCAAAATATCCAACTATTTCGCATACCAGGCCAAAACTCCGATAATTTTTTTTTTGTTTTGAGAAAGTGGTAAATATAATCTGTACCATAAACGGTCAATGTATGACTGCCAATATTGTATATAGAGCAGGGATACATCCCGGTAATGAAGTCAAATTTTATTTTGATCGAATGAAAATCCTTAGAAATTTCGTTTCTACCATCATCGAATAACTTTAGGAAATATAAAATGCATGAAAATCACTGCTCTTTCTAAATATTTCTGGCAATTAAAGAATGGTGGTAACAGAGCTATTATCACGTGAGATGTTGCAGCAAGAGTCAAATCTTGAAATAGGAAAGGCGATAGGTGTAAATTATGCCTTGCTGAAAAAATAGTTATCTTAAAATACTTAGATAAGCCTAGATTATTAATCGAAAGAAATGAATTGATGCTTATATGTAGGCGTAAGAATAAATATATCTACTCAAAACGTTGATCGAGATTAATTTTTTATGTAAATTATGTTATGTTTTTGTAAAGAACTTTATGTTAATAAAAAAAAATTAATATACACAACTATAAGTATTTTGTGTATATATATATATATATATATATATATATATATAATAAAAAGGCTTAAACACTAATATTCCATGGTCATAATTTATTCCATTGGAATCGTAAATACGATCCAATTCATCAGACCTACAAATTTAAAATGAAAACAGAAAAAACCCACTCCGGAAGTGGAAAGAGAATTTAGAGAAAGTGTAAATATGAGGAGGAGGGGGATTGAACCATAACATAGAGAATTTTATGAGATGTGGGGGAAAGGGTTTTAATTAAGAGAAGAGAATGAATGTCGACGGATGTCTAATGCATAAAGATACATTTCGTGGTGACATATATACACCATAGACAATTTGAAGCTACAATAAGAGGGAGGGGGAAGAGGAGGTGGGGGAAGAGAGATGGGACGAAGGAAAGTAAAATTGCGTTTACTTAAAGGTCCGCTTTGTAATTGAGAAAATTTGACAAAATTAATATCGACTACAGGTTACAAATCAAATATAAATATATGAAGATAAATATAACGATTATCTAATTCAGCAAGGAGCTATATTTCTATGTTCAAAGACACATGTGAATACACACAATAACAAATACATGTATACACATACACATAAGCGTGTACCCATACACACACATACATACGTGTACACACATATATAAAAATATAAAAATATATTCACATATCCACACATACACATATTCATCTATATCCATATACACACACTTTTCACATACATATACACTCATACACATGCACCCATGCATATACACATACATACATACGCATATATATTTATATTTGATTTGTAACCTGTAGTCGATATTAATTTTGTCAAATTTTCTCAAAACAAAGCGGACCTTTAAGTAAACGCAATTTTACTTTCCTTCGTCCCATCTCTCTCCCCCACCTCCTCTTTCCCCTCCCTCTTATTCTAGCTTCAAATTGTCTATGGTGTATATATGTCACCACGAAATGCATTAGACATCCGTCAACATTCATTCTCTTCTCTTAATTAAAACCCTTTCCCCCACATCTCCTACAATTCTCTCTGTTAAGGTTCAATCTCCCTCCTACTCATATTTACACTTTCTCTAAATTCTCTTTCCACTTCCGGAGTTGTTTTTTCTGTTTTCTTTTTGAATTTGTAGGTCTGATGAATTGGATCGTATTTACGATTCCAATGGAATAAATTATGACCATGGAATATTAGTGTTTAAGCCTTTTTATTATATCCTTACTCTGTCCTGGACATTGAGTTCTACCTGGATTCTTCCTCTTGGAATTTTTTTCTAAAAATATACATGTATGGGTATTTATATATTTTGCATATGTATGTATATTTTCCACTAATATTATCAATCTCTCTCTCTCTCTCTATATATATATATATATATATATTTAGCAAGCTTCTCTCGCTAGATCAATTACAACTGAAAAGTGAGTCGATCCTCACTAGGTGCCCCATACTTTCGGCCTTGTGCCACATCTAAGCTTTCTTAAAAAAAAACATTTATTTATCAACTACAAAAGACATTTGCTAAATTCCCTCTCTCCCCACTTCTATTTGTTAGGAAAGTGCATTGACAACATTGTATATTTTAAGTCACCATATGCATCTGCTTTAAGTTAATGTTTGGCTGCTGTTAGCTGCCAATCTACCCATTTATATAAAATATAATTTTCAATTTTTACTTTTTCTCTTAGTTTAAAATTAATGAAGGTCATATTTCATTGGTTTATTAGAGTAAAGCCATCAAACCTTAAAACCCTCTTTTTTTCGTAAAAAGTAGTTGTATTTTGCTTTTAAATCTAAATAAATCGTTCAATCGCAAGTAACTTACGATCGCCTGATAAGATTCATTGATATGCATTGGAACAAGGCTGCAAATGTGTAGCGATTTTTACATGTTTTCGGTGTAATATCTATCTATCTATCTATATATATATATATATATATATATATATATGTCGTGGAAGGAAGACAGAGATATAAACGGGAAAGTAAATTCCATCAGTAAGAAAATTAATTTAGTCTGATGAAATCTTTGAGAAGACAAAGTGCGTTATTGAGTATTTTCCACTTTTGTAATTCAGTTGCTTAGCATATATCATACGCTCTTATACATATACATACATACATACATACATATATATATATATATATACATACGCATATATATACACACACATACATATATATATATATATATATATATATATATATATATATATATATATATATATATATATATGAGAACAGAATATACTGAAATACATTGATAAATATGAAGAGATTGTGATAGATATATTGACAGATATGAAATGGCCGAGGTAAATATATAGATAGAAAGATATGAAGAGAGTGAGTTCGATAGATGGTTAGCTAGCTAGCTAGCTAGATAGATAGCTACATATGAAGAGACTAAGATAGATAGATAGATAGATAGATAGATAGATAGATAGATAGATAGATAGATATGATTGACCGAGACAGATAGTTAAATACATATACATGAAAAGACTGAGATAGATAGAGAGATAGATAGATAGATAGATAGATAGATAGATAATGTGCAGACTGTGATAGATAGATAGATAGATAGATAATGAACAAACATAGATAGATAGATAGATAGATAGATAGATAGATAGATAGATAGATAGATAGATAGATATGAAGAGATTGATATCGAGAGATAGATAGCTAGATAGATATGAAGAGACTGATAGATAGATAGATAGATAGATAGATAATGTGCAGACTGTGATAGATAGATAGATAGATAGATAATGAACAAACATAGATAGATAGATAGATAGATAGATAGATAGATATGAAGAGATTGATATCTAGAGATAGATAGCTAGATAGATATGAAGAGACTGATAGATAGATAGATAGATAGATAGATAGATAGATAGATAGATAGATAATGTGCAGACTGTGATAGATAGATAGATAGATAATGAACAAACATAGATAGATAGATAGATAGATAGATAGATAGATAGATAGATAGATATGAAGAGATTGATATCGAGAGATAGATAGCTAGATAGATATGAAGAGACTGATAGATAGATAGATAGATAGATAGATAGATAGATAATGTGCAGACTGTGATAGATAGATAGATAGATAGATAATGAACAAACATAGATAGATAGATAGATAGATAGATAGATAGATAGATATGAAGAGATTGATATCGAGAGATAGATAGCTAGATAGATATGAAGAGACTGATAGATAGATAGATAGATAGATAGATAGATAGATAGATAGATAGATAGATAGATAATGTGCAGACTGTGATAGATAGATAATGAACAAACATAGATAGATAGATAGATAGATAGATAGATAGATATGAAGAGATTGATATCGAGAGATAGATAGCTAGATATATATGAAGAGACTGATAGATAGATAGATAGATAGATAGATAGATAGATAGATAGATAGATAGAAAGACGGAAGAGACATCTATTATTCGTTGGCTTTATTTCTCCCCATTTCTCTTACTCACCTTCTGCTATTATTTTACCCTCTTCTTTTCTCTCCCTATTTCTCTAAAGTCTCTCCCTTTCTTCTCTTATTCTCCTCTACAATTCGAGCTAAGCTTCTCTTCTTTTCTTAGAATAAAAAAAAAATCCCAAAGATCCCACTCTAGTGATGACACATGTGAAACAAGCTTCTTTCCCCTTTCAAGGCCACTGAATGTCGTCTTATTTTTTTCACTTTGTATTAAATCCGTATGTACGTTGCTTTTGGCACCACTTTTTCCGACGTACGTCAAATTTACAAACACATGACTTCTTCTTCCGAAACAATCCTTTGTATGTGCCAAAAAGTTTTTTTTCTCTTTTTTGTATACCACAAAAATGCTTAAGTAAGCAAAATCGACATTTTCTATAAAAACGCAAAATTAGTAGATAAACAAAAGAAAAAAAACATCTGGGTAAGAATGTAAAAGCTAAGGATAAATAAATATATAATATACTGACAATGAGAAAAATATGTATCAACATTAACTGCCAGAAAAAAATGAAATATAAATACCCATCCAAAAAAAATGAATAACCATTAGACACCGGGAAAAAATGAACCACTATTACCCACCTGAGAAAAAAAGGAACCACTATTACGCACCTGAGAAAAAATGATCAACTATTACTTACCTGAGAAAAAATGAACAACGATTAGCCACCTGAGAAAAAATGAACCACGATTAGCCACCTTAAAAAAAAAACGAATCACGATTAGCCACCAGAAAAAAAACGAATCACTATTACCCACCTGAGAAAAAATGAATCACTATTACCCACCTGAGAAAAAAATGAACAACTATTACCTACCTGAGAAAAATTCAACCACTATTAGCCACCTGAGAAAAAAATGAACCACGATTAGCCACCTGAGAAAAAATGAACCACTATTACCCACCTGAGAAAAAATAAACTATTACCTACCTGAGAAAAAAATGAACCATTATTGCCTATCTGAGAAAAAATGAACCACTATTCCCCACCTAAGAAAATTGAACCACTATTACCCACCTGAGAAAAAATGAACAACTATTACCTACCTGAGAAAAAAATGAACCACTATTACCCACCTGAGAAAAAAATGAACCACTATTAGCCACCTGAGAAAAAAATGAACCACTATTAGCCACCTGAGAAAAAATGAGCAACTATTACCTACCTAAGAATAAAATGAACCACGATTAGCCACCTGAGAAAAAATGAACCACGATTAGCCACATGAGGAAAAAAATGTATTACCATTACCCTATCAGAAAAAAAAAATATATATATACAACCATTACCCACCTGGTTAGTATATGTGTGTTGCAGTTGAGCGAGAGATCAACAAAACTCCTCGTAACACCAAAGATGAAATAAACGCAAGGATTATCTCAGCATTCACCAACTTAAACAAGTCGAACGTCCAGAAGAGTTGCAGGAGATTCCGAAGTCGCCTGGAGGCTATGATTGAAGCCAATGATGATTTCATTGAAAAAAAAATTACTCTTTAGTATTTCAAGATATTTTTTGTTAAATGAGATGTCAGTGCTTTGAGGAGGTAGTGCTGACCTGGGTCAAGTGTGTGGCTGCTGGAAGACCCCATTTTCTGGCAACAAGACTCTGCACCATGCCACACAAGCAGAGGAACACAGTTATTGCTGTCAAACAATTTCTGAGACCACGTCACACGTTACATCTGGCCACGTAATTCCCCAGACAGCAAGTTCCCTGTGGGGCGCAGTTCAGTGATAGACCAACAAAACTCCTTGTAACACCAAAGATGAACTGAATGCAAGGATTATGTCAGCGTCCCTTAAAAGAGGAGACCGTCCAGAATAATTGCAGGAGATTCGGAAGTCGTCCGAGGGCCGTACTTGAAGGCAGGGCCTATTTTTTTAAATAAATTTACTCTTTAGTATTTGAAGATTTTTTGTGTCATTTTCGTTAATATACATGTTCAAATATGTATGCCTGTGTTATTTTCATTTTAGCGTCATTTAGACAATTTATCCATCGCCCCCTGTATTACTTTTGTGTTGTTTGAATTTTGTTAATCATGTTTTCTCATGCATTCGACTTGTGGAAGCAACGTTAGTACAATTTGTCGCGTTACGAATTTGTGAAAGAAAGGAACAGATATTAATAAAATGCATTTCAACAACCTAGACACCTGTTTCAATTTGCAGAACGTTGAATATAACTGTCATATAGATATATATATCACAGTACATAATACAATACATACATGGATACTTCCACAGGTTCCAAAATCGTGGGTACATATACGCTACGCATACCCTGAGTATACAGTCCTATTATAGTTAAGATGACCTATTCTGGACGATGACACGTTTTCAATGGCGAATCTATGAAAGAAACTATTGAATTATTATATAGAAGATGAGATAATGAGAGTTGTGTCCCTTTAATTAAAAAAGTGTGACACACCGACATTGGCATTTATTACAGATAGCGAAGGAGCTGAGCTATTGAGAGTTGTCTCCCTTTAATTGATAAGCGTGACACACTGACATTGGAATTTATTATATAGATGTAATAATTAGCACAGAAGTTAGAGAGCCAAATTCGACTGTTTTTTTTTTTTCAGCTGTTGGCGGGCCACTGCATTTGCACAGCCATAATTGACACCATTAAGTACAGAAATGACAAGTATTTAACCAAGCGAAAAGACCCAGCATATGCTGACGAATGCGTACTATACAGTAGTATTATTGTTAAAATGATCCATTCTGAATGGAGTACCTGTAAGTAAAATTTGTGCCGTCTCAAAATGAATAGATTGAATTTTAATTTACAGAATAATGAATATAGCTGATATATATATATATATATATATATATATATATATATATATATATATATATATATATATATTATAAATTAATTGATTTAAATATGGTTTTTCCGCTACACAGTTCTAACCATGTTTCAAAAATGGAAGCTAAAAGCCACGAATTTAATTTTGCAATTAATTAAAGACATTAGTTCCATTTCATCCTCAAGCGAATTTTGGAGTAACTTTTAAAATTACTGGGTTTTAAAGACACAGCTAAAATCACGTTTCCATGGTTACAGTTAAATCTACTTCAATTGGACAAGGGTTGTCTGGGTTTTCCTTATGTCTGCATCATTGTATCGGTTATTAGCTACATTTCACGATCGTATCAATTGGATGTCAGTTTTCATTGAAAAATACATCCGTACCCCTTACCAAAATGTAGCTAATAACCGATACAATGATGCAATATACTCCAATATAAAGCTTATTTAAGAGAGATGTAAATTTAACCCTCCCTATACTTTGTATTGTCTCTTTAACCGCCACCTTCACCCTCCCTGTTTAATTACAAAAATTACACTACCCATCAATTTCTAATCACATTTTTCTTCTCATTTCATTGTTGGAAGTGTTTACCTGATGATCCGAAATCCTTTAAAAAGGATTTTGGAGAAATAAATTATTATAATGGTACCTTAAAGTGGTCTGTTTTCATTATATATATATATATATATATATATATATATATATATATATATATATATATATATATATATATATATCACAGTACATAACACAATGCACACATCAAAACTTCCAGAGGTCACAAAATCTGGAGTGCAACTACGCTTCGCATACGCCGCGTATAGCATGTTTGGGCGCTAATGCTGGTCAGTATTCTTCACCAATTGATACGATAGTGAATATTCTGTATTCCAACTTCGGAGGGATTATTGCACGCTTCTTGCAAGCTAACCCAGCATGAGTTGGAGGTTAATTCAGCGATCGTGCCGGCCCGGAAGGCTTTACCAATGTCTTTTAGAGCGTGCTGAATGCTCGGCGTGTCGCTTGCTAATCCTTTCTTAAACGATTCATAAAGACCGTGACGACTTCCCAACACAGCGAGTGTCGCTATCTACCGTATTTCTCAGCTTATAAGTCGACCTGATGCATTAGATTCCCCACTCCGCACCGCTGCTACTCCGCCTCAAATTTTGAAGGAAACGTTATGAAAAATAAAGTTTTCTCCTTGAATTTCAAAGCCGTCCACACTATCCACAATTTTACCCACTGAATAGAATATTTCAGCCTAAAAACCTGACTAGCCTTAACAAATTCATCCCAGATCTAGAAGTACGGAATTTATGGTCATTATTTAGAACTAGCTTAAAAGCCGCCCAAATCGGGTGGCATTTAACGTAGTCCCTGTGGAGTCCTCTGCATTGGACCAACATCACTATATCTAGGCAGGAGTAGATATGAGAGGCAACAATAAACTACAGAAGAACTCAAAATTGATCGCTGCTTTTAAGTATTGCATATATATTTCATCTTACGTTTGAAAAATTTAAAGAAAAGGGGGAACTGTTGAGAGTTGTGTCCCTTTAATTGAAAAAGTGTGACACACTGACACACCAACATTGGAATTTATTATATGAGATGAGATGATGAGCTAATAAGATTTATGGCCCTTTAATTGAAAAAGTGTGACAAACTGACATTGGCATTTATTATATACATATTATAATTAGAATAAGTTACAGTGCCAAATACGGCTGAAACGTCACCTTATTGCAACCGGAAAACATGGCTGTTTAGGCTGTTGGCGGGTCATTGTATTTGCTAGGCAATATTTGACACCGTTAAGTACTGTAATTACGATTACTTAAACAAGAGAACATACACAGCATATGCTAACGAATGCGTACTATACAGTAGTATTATTGTTAAAATGATCCATTCTGAATGGAGTACCTGTAAGTATAATGTGTGGTGTTCCGAAATGAATATATTGAGTGAGATAAACAAACTGCATTTCAACGCCCTAGACACTTGCTTCGCTTTGCGGAATGTTGAATATACCTGTCATATAGATATCACAGTACATAAAACAATACATACATGAATATTTCCACAGGTTCCAAAACCGTGGGTGTATATACGCTACGCATTCTCCGCGTACAGCATGTTTGGGTTTTGATTCTTCTCCCAACATATGAAGGATTATTGCATGCTTCTTGAAATCTAAACCAGCATGAGTTGGAGGTTAACTCAGCTATTGTTCCGGCCTGGAAGGCTTTACGAATTATGTTGATTTCTCAGCATGTCGCTTGCTAACTATTTCTTAAAGGATTCATTAGGACCGTGCCGACTTTCCAACGCAGCGAGTGTCGCTATCTACCGGATTTCACTGCCTATAAGTCGACCCGTTGCATTTGACGACATCTTCTGCCACAAATTTTGAAGAAGGTAATCGGAAAAAAAGTTTTTCCCTTGTATTTCATAGCCCCCCACACTATAACCAATTTTACCCACCGAATAGAATATTTCAGCCTGAAAGCCTGACTAATCTTAACAAATTCATTGCAAACTTAGATTTACCAAATTTATGGAATTATTTGGAATGTAATAATTAGAAGAGAATTTATTTTGCCTAATACGACTGAAACCTCAGCATATTGTAACAGGAATTCATGTCTGTTTCAGCTGTTGGCGGGCTACTGTATGTGCTTGGCAATAATTGATACCTTTAAGTACTGTAATTACGATAATTACTTAAGCGGAAATACCCAGCATATGCTAACGAATGCGTACTATACAGCAGTATTATTCTTAAGCTGACCTATTCTGGAAGATGAGCTATTTTCAATAGAGAATCTGGGAAAATATAGAAGGAGATGAGCTAATGAGAGTTTTGTCCATTAAATTGAAAAGTGTGACACAACGACACTGGCTTTTATTATATAGAAGAAGAAGATGAGCTATTGAGAGTTGTCTCCCTTTAATTGATAAGCGTGACACACTGACATTGGCATTTATTATGTATATATATATATATTTATATATGTAATAATTATCACAGAAGTCAGAGTGCCAACTTCGAAAGAAACCTCATCTTATTGCAACCATAAAACATGGCTGTTTCAGCTGTTGGCGGGCTATGGTATTTGCTTGGCAATAATTGACACCTTTAATTACTGTTATTTACGATTACTTATTCAACCGAAAATACCCAGCATGTGCTAACGAATGCGTACTATACAGTAGTAGTATTGTTAAAATGACCCATTCTGAATGGAGTACCTGTATGTATAATTTGTGGTGTTCCGAATTCAAGGTGAGACGACTTAATTTGTAAATCTAAAATTACTCTTCTGAATAAGCAAACAGTGTTTAACATCTTTGTTGTCACATCACAAGGTAATGTATAAATCCATTTTAATATGTTTGGGTTTTATTAAAATTGTAATAATCGCTTTTTAAATCAATAAAGGTTGCCGAGGGAGTCAAATATGTATACAGTAATAGCGGTGTCAACGGAATGACCGTCCCTTTGATAGGCTGTGTTTTTTTTATTTTCTTTATTTTATTTTATTTTTATTTTTTTTAAATTTACACTATTTATATTCGGAGTATTTTCCTCATCTTAAAAACAGTAAAGATCACAACATTTCGTTCATTGTGTGCTACGGCCTTGCTAAGGTGTATATTGATCAGGGTAAGCCTGAACTGAGCACTTTATTTAATCTACGGGGTAGGCTGTTCTCACTCCACTGCCCACTGAACACCGGAACAACGGCCTTGGATTAAATGATTTGATCGTGAATATGGTGACATAGTGGATGCAAGTTCAATCCGTGTTTGGATTCAGTGGAAACAGGTTGAGTAATAATTGGGAGAGGAGGCACGGTGGAGTAATGGATAGCAGCTCGGATTGAGGAATCGGAGAGCCGAGTTCGAATTCCAGTCGAATATATTACATTCACTTACATGCTAATAACCTATGAAAAGTATGAATCTTCTTCTTAAAGCTATGGGTAAATAACAGGACAGACCGGGTTCTATAGCCTTGGATGAAAACTGGTCTAACGCAGAAAGAAATGGAAACCTACAGCGGGAAAAATCTGCCTCGTCAGTCATGTAACGAAAGATACATGATCGCCTAAGCGTGAGCACTTGGAAATTGCCGGTGCTGTTAGCCTGGATGCACGGGTGGTGTTATTCTTTACGGCCATATCACGTTGAAACACAGGTTCTCGAACGATCACCGAAGTTAAGCAACGTTGAGCCTGGTCAGTACCTAGATGGGTGATAGCTTCGGAATATCAGTAGCTGTAAGCTTGGATATGCAGGTTATATGGTTTACGGCCATATTATGCTGAAACATAAGTTCTCGTACGATGACCGACGTTAAGCAACGTCACGTCTGGTCGCTACCTAGAAGGGTGATCACTTGTGAATACTGGATGCTGTAAGCTTGGATGTATATCTTGTGTTATTCTTTATGGCCATATTACGTTGAAGCCTATGTTCTCGGAGGATCACCGAAGTTAAGCAACGTCAAGCTTGGTCAGTAGCTAGATGGGTGATCGCTTCGGAATACCAGGAGCTGTAAGCTTGGATACGCCTGTTAGATTGTGTACGGCCATATGACGTTTAAACATAAATTCTCGTACGATAACCGAAGTTAAGCAACGTCGAGTCTGGTTGGTACTAGGATGTGGGACCCCTTAGGAATGCCAAGTGCTGTAAGCTTAGACGTTCGACTTGTGTAATAGTTAATGGGTAGGAAATGTTATGTTCCAATTCTTGTGGGGTTCTTTGAATTCATTTATCCCAGGATATCTTTGGTAAAAATATGAATCAACCGTTTCCCCTTCTAGTTATACATTAATTAGTAAGACTTTTATCACTAAACATTATTACCTAAAAATGAAATTCTTACAATCTAAAAATAGTTTCTGGCTTTTAATAACCTGCAATGGGCAGCTAATGTGTACAATGGGCTATAATAAGTTTTAAACCACCCTTAATTACAGCAATTTTGACTTGTGTAATAACGTATTTTCTTTTGTTTTCAGACAATACCGTGTTAGTATCAAGCTACTCTCATCTATGAACATTAGTTGACTTATATTTTGCAATGAAAGTTTGCGGAAGTAAGGAAATTGGTGAATTTCAACAAGGGCAAATAATAGGATGGCATCAGTGTGGCAAGTCAAATAGAGAAATTGCTAGGTTTTTCCAGGTTAATAATCAAACAGTTAATAATATTGTCAAGAAATTTAATGAAGAAGGCCATTGTCATGTGGAACAACGTTCAGGAAGACCAATCATCGTATCTGAGCGAACGAAAAGCGCGCTGATGAGGGAAGTCATCAGAAACCGTCGATACCGTCAAAGATGTCGACAACAGCATGAAAATGTCACCATATTCAGTGAGAAAGACTCTGGAAGAGCTGTGGCTATAAAAGAAGAGTTTCAAGAAAGAAGCCCTTGATTTCAGAGGTTAACAGGAAACGTCGTACGGACTGGGCGAGAGAATTAGAGAACAAAGATTATGAATTTTGGCAGTCTGTAATTTGGTCAAGTGAAAGTAAATTCTGCCAATATTCTAATTCGAGATTGGAGAAATCAGAATGAGACTAGGAACATTGAATGTCTGCAGGCGACCGTGAAACATGGAGGGATAGGAGTAATGGTGTGACGCGCTGTCTGGTTTGGATGTAAATCTGAGCTGATTCATGTTGACGAGCTATTGAATGATCTAAAATATTATCAAATATTAGAGAAAGGACTACTCCCACTATTTGAAACCAATCAGACTGACAAAAATGTCTATCTTTTTCAAGAAGATGGAACGCCATGTCATACGAGCAAAGTAGCAAAAGCCTGGAAGGAATTGCAAGGAATCAAGTCGCTGTCATACGTAGCCCAAAGTCCTGATATGAATCCAATAGAATAGATTTGGAAGTACCTTGACCGAAGACTTCAAGAGTGTGCAACCAAAATCACGTCAGTGGCAACCCTTAAAGAAACATTGCTAAAGGAGTGACAAAATATGGCTCAGATGATTGTTAATAACTTGATCAAATCCATGAAAAATCGAATACAAGAACTGAAACTAACAAATGAAGGACCTACCCTATACTAGTTCCAAATATTTATGTTGAGTTGGGATTACGTAATTATATTTTGAAATTGGATGTAGTTTATTTCTCCTGGCTAAATCTTTTCTTAGGCCGCTGTAGAAAATAAATGAATCAATCAAATACTGATTAGCTACAAACTCATGTCTTTTAGACTTGTTTACATTCTCTTGCATCTAAATGCATAGAATCTACCGTGGCTTCAAAGTGGGGAATCGCTTTATATATTGATTGTATAAGAGAATTGATATCTCACTTTATGTCCACATTATAACCACTGACTTGTTCACAAAATTCTGATTAGGTATGAATCCACTTCTTCTACGCCAAGCTATGGGTTAATTAGTAAGACTTTTAACACTAAAACCTTATTATCTAAAAAAGAATTCTTACAATCTAAATAATATTTTATAGCTTTCAATAACCTGCAAAGGGTTGATAAGCCGTAAAAAACGAATCAGCTAACCAACCAAAATGCGCAAGAAAGACAATCAAATTCAGTAGTGGACTTGTTTGGGTTTGACGTTTCATTAAAAGCGATGATTGAAGAAAGATTTTAAAAATCAATGGAATATTAGATAGTGAAAAAAAGATATTATTTTACTAAAGGTGCACCAGTCATTCTGATGCAGCCAAAATGCTGGAATTCTTCCAATGGAATCAACAGAGAAAGATATTTTTCTATGAGTCAGCTCACACGCATTTCTGCAGAAGGTATCCAGCGATTTTTTTTTGTGGTGAATTTAGGCATCTAATATGTAAAATAAACTCCGTATGATGGAGATATTTCTCTTTGGCCTGTTATTTTTCTCAGGTATTTCTCAAGTATTATACTCTTACCGGAATTTCCTCTCAGTTACATACCGTTGGTAATTAGTGTACCTCTGCTGGTACCGATAAAAGTCGCCGGTAATTTATCATGATGATCGTTTTGACTTAACCGTTCCATATGTGGCACCATTTATGGCGTTCGTGTCTTCGGATCTTAACTGTCTGGAGGCGCTAAAATGCACAGGTTTTCTTTTGGTAAATCAAAAAGCCCTACAGAAAATATCCCCTTCACTGCAACACACATAGGGGCTTATTCTCTGTGCATCTTTCTTCATGAGAGGGGTTAGGAGAAAAGCAGTTAGTGGTCGGGGAAAACAAGCTGATATAGACAAACCCAGTACACATAAATTTGAATGATACATTTACCCAAAGTGGCTTTGATGGACACAGCTTCAGATTCGCAGTGTGGAAAGATTGTGTTGTGTTGAAATTATTACTAATTCTGATACATAATAGCCAGATACAGAAAGGATGGTAATATAAGCTTGTTCCTGGTTAATGGTCTGTCCGTACTAAGCAATCTGATGTAGAAAAACCTAGTAGCCATCTTTTTCAATGATACACTTAGCCAAGGTGATTTGGGCGTTGCACCTTGATGGGTGGATATAGCTTCAGATTTTCACCGACTGGAAAGACTGTGTCACCTAACCTGAAAGTGTTCTTGATGCTGCCCCGCCCACAATGTTTTTTTTTGTTTTTTTTTTCAGTATAGCATGTGCCTGATAATTCCTCATTAAACTGTTTTGTCATGACGGCTATATAAGTTTTCAAGTTTCCGTTGGCTGCTCTCTCTACCTCTCTTTTCTTTAGTTTCTTGTAAATAGATTTTTGTATGCATATTGTAAATACTCATTGGGGTTAACTTTTAGAATTGTTGTTTTATTCCGCTCCCCACACAGACAACGAATTGTAAATATGGGGACTAGTTAGTATTTTCATAGAGACAAAGAGGTATTATGGTGGTTGTAGTAAGAAAGGTACGTATGAATGTGTTGTTTTGGTGTAAGGAATATTGTTTTGTACGATTGGGTCAGTGTTTGCGGCTAGCTAAGTTATATTTAAGACAGAAGAAGACCGTCCTTTCCCCAATCCCCCCCCCTACGGCCTTGTGCCACATTTCTGTATTAAACAGAATAAATATCGCTCTCTACCTCTCTATCTCTGCCTCGACAATAATAATAATAATAATAATAATAATAATAATAAAAGTTACAGAGGGTTGAGAACAAGAGTAAAGACGCATGATAGAGGAAAGGATGAAGAGAAGGATGGGGAATTAGATCAAGGCATCTGAAGGTGTTGATTTACATTGAATTTGAATAATTGAAAATTATAGCTATCAGAGAAGGAAGTAAGAGGAAGGGAGTTCCACAAACGGGAAGTGCGAGACATGAAGCTATCGTAGTAAAAGAGACGCTTACATTTCACAGTTTCGAGATGTTGGGAACTGAGAGGCCAACCTAGTAACACGCTTAAATTCATGCAGTGTTGAGCAGTTACCGTGAAAGTATTTGTAGAAAAGACAGAAGGAAGACAAACAGTTTCTCTGTATCACAGCTCATCAGAGTGGCTAGACATCCGATTGCTTGAAGCTGGGATCAAAACCCGACTGATTTTGCATCAGTCAGAGATTCTACTCTCAAGCTATCGTCACACGGCTATAAATAATACGTTGACGTTTGAATAATGAAGCCTTTCATTTATTGCAAGGATTTTGTCACGATTAAAATGACCTGGAACCGTGTGAACCTTGTAAAATTTACCATAAAAGTTTTGTATGAACACAGACAACGATATCTGAATAATGGCGTTAATTAATTTCTAAGAAGGAAAGAATTTACCACAGTTAAAAACAGGTGTACATCAACCGTATATGACGCATTTAGCGGAGGGGGGTCGTATTCAACAAAAAATTCGAAAATTGCTTTTTATCAATGCAAATTATTCATTATATCATATCCAAGTATTTAAAAAAAATAGACCTGATTACACAATACTTCAAGCTCAATTTAAGTTTATAGTTTGTCACCATGCAATGAGATGAGGTCACATGAACCGTAGATTTGCCTGCGGAATATCATTACATTATTGTTACATAAAAACAGTGAAATCATTACGGTTTTTTGAAAAAAGCATTTTATTTTTGGTCGTATATTAATTAAAAATATTCCATTTTACAGGCTTTATTTTTGAAATGGAATAAGATCATTCTAAATTTCCGAATTTTGCTATTGTCCATCAAAATGACTGAAAGAAAGCGATCTAAAAACAACAATGGAAAAGAGAGGTAACAAAGTGTAAACGAAATAGCTCCAGTTTGTTCAACTTAGGAAACATAGAATTACAGCCAAAGTATTCTAAAATGCTGCCAATAAAAAACGCGTAAATGAAAAATACCTAACAGAAAATCGAATATAACATCAAAATTTATATTATTTTTATTCATTTGTTATGCAACTAAATACATAATTATCAACAATGTTTCCGTAAAACTCGATATTTCCTGTAATAAATTCTTATTATTTTACTTGTAAGGTAGTCCTATATTTACAATTCCTTACAACTAACCATGAAAAGAAATGTTGATCAAATCTGCCTAAAACCTTTAAGTTTGTATTGCCGCAAAATTATCAAATGCTGAATACGCCTATCCTTCACCAAATGCGTTATATATTAATAGTATATAACATTAAATAAATTGTGCAGAGTATAAAGTTTTACAACGGCTGGAAAAACGAATATTTTAATAGAATATAAATCACGTTTTCAGGAG